AATTTTTAGAACCTTTGCAGGTATTTGCAGGTTCGAGCAGGTTTATAAATTACGTCATCGCAATGTTTATACAATAAGGCCCGCGGAAAAATTACGAGTTTTCAAAGTCATTCGCAGGTTCGTGCAGGTTTTTTCTCCACATCAAAGGGCAGCGCTATTTTAGGCAGCGCTATTTTTAGAAAATACAATGGAGGGGGTGATAAGGATTGTTTACACAAGTTTTAGGCGCCATGTTGCCAGATTTCAATTTGTGTGACATCATCGCTATTTTTAAATCATAGACCTTTAGGCAGCCACTTTTAGGCGCCATGTTGCCAGATTTCAAGTTGCGTGACATCATCGCTATTTTTAGAACAGACAATCGAGGGGGTGATAAGGAATGTTTATACAAATTTTAAATAGTGTCGTGTGCAACAAGCGGGTATATAAAGCAAGTTAGAAAAATATGAATTTTCAAAGGCAATCGCAATGGAGAAGGAGCGCGATCTTACCGTACGAGCAGTGAACATTAAAACGTTGGGAGAGTTTCTCCCATGGGACTACGAGTGCGACGAGTACCTCGATTCTCTGAGGGAAAAATGTCGCAAGAGACAACGAACCGGAGTAGTCAACTCTCTGGTGGCGCAAATTGTGCGTCTGGAGGGTGTGAGGAACACCCTACATGAGCGATTCGTACCCATCGGTGCTGGATACGGCGGATACGAGAAGAAGGGCTACACGTGAAAGGAGATCGAGACGGCGTTTAGAAACCGTGTGCTGACGGGTGCGGTTGTCAATTCCGACTTCATCGATCCTCGTGAATTTTTGGAAAGTATAAGAAATACGGTTATTGAGCGGATCCAGAGCGTCATGGTGGAGCATGGGAACGTTAAAATCAACACCGCGTTCAACGGGTAATTTATCGCGGGTAACAAGACAGCCGTGAAGACCATCGCCACGAAGAATCATGAGATATATCCAACATCTGATTTACAAGAGCGGTACACGAAGCATGTGGTTGACGTCATACAGGCATCTCTGGAGGAGTTTCAGGAACGCGACAGCGGATGGGCGTTGTCACGTATCCTGAACCTAACAATCAACGTCAACAAGTTGAATCCTCTACGCGCGGGATGCCACATCGAGTTACCGCGGAAAATTATGTTAAAAAAAGCGGTGGTCAACGTGAAATCAAACGATAATGCGTGCTTTGCGTGGGCAGTCGTCGCCGCTTTACATCCAGCGGAAAAACACCCGGAAAGAACAATCGAATATCCACACTACTCGACGGTGCTGAATCTGTGTGGTATAGAGTTCCCCATGACGCTTCCACAAATATCAAAATTCGAGAAACTGAACACCATCTCCGTCAACGTTTTCACTATAGAAGACTCCAAAATCATCCCTCTGCGTCTCACTGATGATAAAAAAGAGAAGCATGTCAACCTTCTCTATGTGCACGGAAACAACGAGGCACATTTTGTGTACATCAAGGATCTGTCTCGACTAGTGAGCTCGCAATTGAGCAAGCGAAATGGCAAAAAGTACATTTGTGATCGGTAAGTAAAAACACATTTATAGAATAATTCGAAACTTTATTAATTATACAAATTATTACAGGTGTCTACATTACTTTTATACACGGGAGAAATTATCGGCGCACAGCGTCGATTGTGGCAAGATGAACGACTGCGCCGTCGTTCTTCCCAGCGAGGACGACAAGTGGCTGACGTTCAGCAACTACAACCGGAAGGAGCGGCTCCCGTTTGTAATGTACGCCGATCTCGAATGTACGCTCGAGAAAAAGGAGGATCAGGACGGTACTACTTACGCCTACCAGCATCACAAGGCATTTAGTGTAGGATATTATGTAAGTTGTACGTACGATAATTCTTTATCTAGTTTTAAGTCTTATCGCGGTGAGGATTGCGTAGCATGGTTCGTCAATGAACTCCACGATTTGGCGCGCCGTGTGAAAACGATCCTCACCACCGTCGTCCCCATGGCGGATCTTACGCGGGAGGAATCGGAAAAATTCCGTAGCACCGCGACGTGCCACGTGTGCGAGAAACCGTTTACACCGGACGATACGCGGGTGCGCGATCATTGTCATCTTACCGGGCGTTACCGCGGTGCCGCGCACTCATTGTGCAATTTAAATTACAAAGACTCCCACGTTATCCCGGTGATATTTCACAATTTATCCGGTTACGACGCGCATTTCATTATTAAAGACATTGCCAATGCTTTCGAAGGCAACATTGATTTACTGCCGCTGACGAAAGAACGTTACATATCATTCACAAAAATCGTTAAAGAAACCGAGGATGAAAATTTCAAAATTTGCGTCAAATTACGATTCATCGATTCGTTCAGATTTCTAAGTACAAGTCTTGACAAATTGGCATCTTATTTAACTGTAGATGAATTAAAAATTTCACGATCGGAATTCAAACATTTATCCGCGGAAAATTTCAATCTGCTTACTTGGAAAGGCGTGTTTCCCTACGAGTACATCGACAGCGTCGACAAGCTCCGGAACACAAGCCTACCATCGCGCGAATCGTTTTACAGTTCGCTCACTGGAGAAACAGTATCCGAGAGCGATTACGCGCACGCGACAAACGTCTGGCAAACCTTTTCAATCGAAACTCTTGGACAGTACAGCGATTTGTATTTGAAAACAGACGTTCTTTTGTTGGCGGATATTTTTGAAAATTTTCGAAACATGTGTATAGCACAAAAATTCATAAATGATAAGATCAGGCCAAGTTCCAAAAAAGACACTCCAATATGTTTATATTTTAATAATAATCTGAATTTTTAATATATTACCAACATGAAAAGTAACTGATATATTGTTCAAGGTGCAAATTCAAAATAAACATACATAAAATATACATAAAATGTATAAATAAAACTGATCATAATTTGATTCTAGAAAGTAAGTGATATATTATTCTTAGTGCACATACAAAATTTTTTAAAATTTAATTAAAATAACAAAATATTTATTAAAAAATACAAAAACACTTGGCGCTGCCAACGGGCTTCACCATCCCCCCTCCCCCCTAGCGCAACCCCTTTACGCCATTTCCCCCTTTTCCTCCCCTCCCCCCCCGTCAAGAGGCTCCACCACCCCTCCACCCCTTTACATCTTTACACCTATAGTATTATGAAACAACGAAAATGAGTAATAATGTAAT